GTATTCAAGGAGTTTCGCAGCAACAAAAGCTCCGCCACCTTGTCGCTGAGGTAAAACGCTTGCGCATATCTCGTGCGCAGATCAAAGTCATACAGGTTGTGTTCGAAGCGCATTCCAAAGATGCGCACATGGGAATTAGCGAGTTCGTCAAAGCTGTGAATGGGTGGCTTTGCAGGTGGTGCAACAAATAGGGTAACCAGCCTGCCCTGGACGTTGCAAGCCAGCATAATTGCCAAAAACTTCCAGCCTATACCAAGCAGACGTCTATGACGATGGTAACGAGTTAGCAGGAGCTCATGGAGCGCCCAGAGCACGGCCAGGAAACACAAGGTAAAAGCAGGCACCATCCAAGTGTATATTTCTCGTACACCTAAGAGCGCCTCCTTGGGCAACATTGTGCACCAGCTGGCTATATATGCTGGATATGTGTACTCATGATAACGATCCAGATGGCGCAGCGTTAAAGGCTGCACGCTGGCCGCTATATCCACCATGTTATCCCGCGCCAAATCCAATACTTGAATGTGACTCAGGAACTTTCCCTCTCGAACCACATCGATCAGTTGCAAGCCGGCATTGTGTTTGCGTGAGAATTCCTCCAGCATGTTCCACACGTAGCCAAGCAGTCGAGGATTACCTTGCTTATCGCGATAGAGTATGGTGTTGGGCTCAGACAGATCGGGCATTGTGCGAATCCGAAAACCATGCAAATCAAGCGTTTTATCAGGATACAAATTGAAAAACTCCTGCGTAAATTGTTGACTCTTCAGCAAGAAACTTGGATATGCATCGTAGATATACAACGTGTGTGTTTCCCCGAAGCTCCCAGAGATTAATGCAGCATTGAGCATCTGATTTTGTAGACAAAATTGTAGCACTCGCTTGACCAAGGGCACATCCTGATTGGTAATCAATTCGATAAGCAGTTTGGTCTGCCGCATATAACGCAAAGTGCTTGAAATTGTGTTCAGCAAATCCAGGCGATATACGCCAGGTAAGCAAGCCACAACCAGAAGTTGGTCATTGATGAAGCTGCTCAGCTTTAGATCGTCAACTGATCTCCACAATAGCAAAGGAATACCCTTTCCTATTATTGATAGCCAATTTTCCAATTGGCAGCGCTCCTTTCCATCCTCAGGATCCAAATAGACTATTGTGCTAAAGCTGTTGAAGCGAACAAGGGCTGAAAGGAGCTCAGCGTAGATTTGAACACTATCGTTCATGGCTGAGGACTCCAAAACGACTGACTGCTAGCCTGGTAAGTGTTACAAAAGTTTACCCATATTATACTCTTACAGTTTGAGTACTTTATTTATTCCATTCATATCAACAACTAAATTTCGTATTACATATGTATTAAATAAATATAAGAACTATAAACTTCATTTTCTATACATTTTATTATTTGCATATTTTTAATAGATTTTTGAATATTTGTTAACATAAATATTAACCTTATGTTGGTGCTAAAGTGTATTTAACCATAGACCTCACAGATTAAGTTTGTATTAATGACATAACTTTTAATGACTACTTTTATAACATATGCAGACAAACATTAGTATAATACACAAGCAACTCGAATACAAAAATCAATAGGGATATGGCCATTGCATATCCATATAAGACCACGATAAAGTCCATCTCAGCGAATTTTAGGGGTTTTACGTCAACTTGGGTGCTTAAGTCCTGCAGCTTGAAATAACCCGCGTTTAGCATATCAAAAAACTGTTTGTTTACATAAAACCTAAGGATGCCGCTTTGCCGCAACCAAAGTATATATAAGTCCAGTTGATCGCGGTATAAAAAGTTTTCTCGAAAAATAACAGAATTAGGTGAAACTTGTCGAACACAGAGCTTGGTAGAGTAGCGAAAGATTGGTCGCTTAAAGAACTTTTGCAACTCCGCAATATTGTTCCACTTTAATGCGAAAATTGTGTAACCAAACGAAGGGTTTAGACTATTGCGTTGCGATTCAAATTGTGTATGGTTTTCCAAGGATATGAAAGCTGATGCGTACTTGATTCTCATTTCGTCAGGATACTGATTGAATTCACCGCGTAGTCCGATAATCTTTAATCCGGATGCGTTCAACTGTTCCCAATTGGAAATCATTCGAAGTTTCTGCGGACGAATAAACATCGCAGATAGTTGCGCCACCACGGTGCAGAGGAGAGTCAGTTGAATCAATGTAGGGAGTAATATCAAGATCGGCCTTCCAGGCATACGGCGTTCATATAGGTGGCGAATCAAGCAATAGACGATACCTAGATAAGCCCACATCCAGGGCGACTCCAACACTCCGGTCATAGCCTCACGCGGACTGACCACACGCTCCACTGGCAACATGGTGCACCAGCTGTTGATGATAACTGGGGAGCTGAAAATATTGAGGTTGTTACTCAAAGAATAGATGAGGGGGAAAAGGCTGGTGGTAACGTCAGTTGTTCCATTTTGGATATACGGCAGTAATTTAAAGTAGCTGTCCCACGCAGACTGGCTCAAAAGGGAATCATAACTCAACTCAAGAGTGGCGTTCAAGTAACTCGCAAACCCCTCCATAAAACGCCAGAGCACTCCGGTAGTTATTAATTTTCCATTTCGATCCTTGTGCACAAGTAAATAGGGCTGCGTTAGATCTGTCCGTGTCCTAATTACCTGGCCGTGTAGGTTGGCCAGTTTGTAGGGATATAGCTGCAAGCCGGCATGGTATACCTGCGACAGCAGCCGGAATGTGGGAAACATTTGATACGCATAAATCATACCAGGTGAAGAGGTGAAGAAATCACTCAATAGCAACAGAACATTCGGCATTAGCAGATCCTGGCAACGCTTAAGAATCTGGGGGCCTAATTCCAGTATACTTGTTTTATCCGGATCCTTAGTGCATATCTGCAGCAGCAGGGGCACCTCCCTCATATGGTTCAGCATTGTACTAAGCGCAATCAATACGGGTTCAAATAAATCAGAGTCCAAGCAAGCCAATCCTAGAATATCAACATTCTGCTTCAACCTTAGATATGGTACATTCGATGCATTGTTCCATACCAAAGTGGTAGTCGTCATGTTTCTCTCATCCAATAGATTTTCAATCGAGCAACGACATTTTTTTGATTGGTAGTACAGAAGAGTCCTGAATCCAAGCTCACCTTTCAAATGCAACCAGAAGCTTGCCAGTTGCTTTGCACTGGGCCAGTCGTTTACGGATTGCTGCTCCTTCCACATTTCTCTTACGACTGTTGACTTGGCTTTAGGTCCTGGATGCTTTTATAAGGCTCTACAGAATTGAAGTGTCAGCATGCTTAAGGGGCTGACTTGCAAATAAGCATGTCCCATAAAAAGTCAATATCTTCATATCTTGATAAGTATTTATAACACTCAATATATATATCTATATATGTTCTATGAATGGTGGTTATAGCAAAGTACGGTCCTTGTTTTGGTAAACAGTTCAAATTTACGGGATGATTATTATGGATTATGGAACCGCTAACCATACATTTTTCGGTTATATATATATACCATAAATCGTATATAATATATACCATATGTCGGAATAGTTTCTCATTTTCCCCTTAAAATAAGCAAAACTCAGCTTTAAGGTAGATACTAGCGAGTATTCCTAGATTCGATTCATTAGATTAGATTTTTATAGCCTTGCAGAGGGTATTATAATTTTGTCGTGAAATGTGTAACGCATAGAAGGAGACATCTCCGACCCCATAAAGTATATATATTCTTAATAAGTATCAATAGCCGAGCCGATTTAGCCATGTACGTCTGTCCGTCTATCTGTTTCTATGCGAACTAGTCTCTCAGTTTTAAAGCTATCTTTATGAAACTATCATATAGCTTCCATAGGAACGATCGTTCGAAAAGTTGGTTGTTGTATGAACAACTTTTTGTTTATTTAGATATCTTGACCAAACTCGGCATTTATTAGTTTTATTATGCTCCCCATATATATGCAAAATCCTATTAAGATCGGACTACTATATCATTTAGCTGCAATAAGAACAATCGGTCGAAAATTAAGTTGTTGAATGGAAAATATGTTTTTCAAGATATCTTGACCAAACTTGGCATTTATTAGTTTTAATATGCCTCCCCCATGTATGCAAAATCCAATCAACATCGGACTACTATATCATATAGCTGCCATAGGAACGATCGGTCAAAAATTAAGTTGTTGTATGGAAAACTTTTCGGTTTTTCAAGATATTTTGATAAATCTCGGCATTTATTAGTTTTACTATACTCCTCATATATATGCAAAATTCTATCAACATTGCACCACTTTATTATATAGCTGCTATAGGAACGATGGGTCGAAAATTAAGTTGTTGTATGGAAAACTTTTTTGTTTTTCAAGATATCTTAACCATGCTCGTCATTAACTATTTTCCCTGTGCTTCTTAGATACGGGCAAAGCACAATGAGCATTATGAAAAGGTGGCGTCAGCAAGGGTATTAAATCTTCGGAGTGCCGAAGATAGCCCTTCTTTCTTGTTATGTAAAGCTTTGAAAGTAGATTTCCAGTCGATTAAAACATAAACAAAGAGTAAGCGAAAAGTATGAAACACATCTAAAATGAATTTTCATAAAAAACCTTGAAAATTTATTTAAACACAAAACTTCACCTACCAAATCTTTGATCCCATCCCCTAACAAGAAAGGATGGATTTAACCAAAAATCGTGACACTTTATATATAATACAAAAACTTAACGTGCTCTGTGTTAAAGCAAGCAATGGCTGAAAGGAGCTTATCAAGGATCATTCTAGTAGTATTAGACTCACAATAGTGAAACAACATTATATCTAAGTAAGCAATAAATGAGTTTAATCAACAATTAAATTTTAAAATGTATTAAATAAATATTATAAGAAATATGAATTAAAATGTTTAAATAGATTATTATAAATAAGCATTAGTTTATTAAAATGATTATTTATACTTTTAATAATACCAATTTATGTTCTTGCTTTTAATAATGACTTTTACAAAATATGCAGACAAACATTAGTATAATACACAAGCAACTCAAATACAAAAATCAATAGGGAAATGGCCATTGCATATCCATATAAGACCACGATAAAGTCCATCTCAGCGAATTTTAGGGGTTTTACGTCAACTTGGGTGCTTAAGTCCTGCAGCTTGAAATAACCCGCGTTTAGCATATCAAAAAAATGTTTGTTTACATAAAACCCAAGGATGCCGCTTTGCCGCAACCAAAGTATATATAAATCTAGTTGATTGCGGTATAAAAAGTTTTCTTGAAGAATAACAGAATTAAGGGAAACTTGTCGAACACAAAGATTTGTAGAGTAGCGAAAGATTGGTCGCTTAAAGAACTTTTGCAACTCCGCAATATTGTTCCACTTAATTTCATAAATTGTATAACCAAATGAAGAATTAAAACTATTACGTTGATACATAAATTGTGTGTAGTTTTCAAAAGATATGAAAGATGATGCGTACTTGATTCTCATTTCGTCAGGATACTGATTGAATTCACCACGGAGTCCGATTATCTTTAATCCGGATGCATTTAACTGCTCCAAATTGGAAATCATTCGAAGTTTCTGCGGACGAATAAACAGTGCAGATAGTTGTGCCACCACGGTGCAGAGCAGAGTGAGCCGAATCAAAGAAGGAAGCAATATCAAGATCGGCCTTCCAGGCATACGGCGCTCATATAGGTGGCGAATCAAGCAATAGACGATACCTAGATAAACCCACATCCAGGGCGACTCCAACACTCCGGTCATAGCCTCACGCGGACTGACCACACGCTCCACTGGCAACATAGTGCACCAGCTGTTGATGATAACTGGGGAGCTGAAAATATTGAGGTTGCTACTCAAAGAAAAGGTGAGGGGGAAAAGGCTGGTGGTAACGTCAGTTGTTCCATTTTGGATTTGAGGCAATAACCTAAAGTAGCTGCCTCGCACAGAATGGCTTGAATCGGTATCATAACTCAACTCAAGAGTGGCGTTCAAGTAACTCGCAAACCCCTCCATAAAATGCCAGAGCACACCGTTAGTTATTAATTTTCCGTTGCGATCTTTGTAAACAAGTAAATAGGGCTGCGATAAATCTGCCCGTGTCCTTATCACCTGGCCGTGTAGGTTAGCCAGTTTGTAGGGATATAGCTTCAAGCCGGCATGGTAGACCTGCGACAGCATCCGGAATGTGGGAAACATTTGATACGCATAAATCATACCAGGTGAAGAAGTGAAGAAATCATTCAATAGCAACAGAACATTCGGCATTAGCAGATCCTGGCAACGCTTAAGAATCTGTCGGCCTAGCTCAACTATACTTTTTTGATCCGGATCCTTAGTGCATATCTGCAGCAGCAGGGGCACCTCCCTCATATGGTTCAGCATTGTACTAAGCGCAATCAATACGGGTTCAAATAAATCAGAGTCCAAGCAAACCAATCCTAGAATATCAACATTCTGCTTCAACCTTAGATATGGTGCATTCGACGCATTGTTCCATACCAAAGTGGTAGTCGTCATGTTTCTCTCATCCAATAGATTTTCAATCGAGCAACGACATTTTTTTGATTGGTAGTACAGAAGAGTCCTGAATCCAAGCTCACCTTTCAAGTGCCACCAGAAGCTAGCCAGTTGCTCTGCAGTGGGCCAGTCGTTAACGGATTGCTGCTCCTTCCACATTTGTATTAGGACTGTTGACTTGGCCTTAGGTCCTGGATGCTTTTATAATGCTTCACAGAATTGAAGTGTCAGCATGCTTAAGGGGCTGACTTGCAAATTGGCATATCTAGTAAAAAAATATATTGATAATGCTGATAGTAGAGCAGTGCTGAAATTATAGCGGAGCAAGGACTTTTGTTCAAAAATGTTAGATGTTTGTATAACTACATTTTGACGCGATTATAGTTTCGTTATTCAGCATTATAAATCACCATATTAGTTAAAGTAAATTATAATAACGGGTTTCATATTTATTTAATTCTTCTTTGTTAATCCAAGTACAAAAAAATTAATAAACATGTACAAAAATGTGATTTCTTATGTTGTGTATTTTGGACTTAACCGAAAATATAACATTTTAATGTAATAGATAATAACGTAAATAGTGAATCACGATTTAATATGCTGTCGCAGCTGTAACTAGTTCCTTTCTAATACTTTTGCGAAGTAACCGTTACTGCTTTGTATTTATCGCACATCTCTAAGAGCTATCGCCGACTGTCGCTCTCTCCTTCGCACCAAATTCGCGAGCTCGTCATATAGTTTTTTTTCCACACTGGCAGAATAATTGTTTTGAGCTTTCAATCGCGAAGCATTTTTAAATAAAAAAGATAAACTAGCAACAGGCGTGAAATGAGCGAAACTATAAACACGGCGGCGCAGTTTCCGACATTCGAGAAACCGACCGTCCAGTTCAACGAAAAGGGCTGGGGACCATGCGAGCTACCAGACACGTTTAAGGATGTGCCTTACCAGCCATTCAGCAAGAACGATCGTCTGGGTAAGATCTGCGACTGGACAAGCACCTCTAACAATGACAAGAAGTATCAAAGTAAGTTAAAGCCAAAGTTTTATTTAGCATATGCACAAAGTGAGGTTATGTTCGCATGTCTGCGCTTTGTTTGTGTGTGTGTCGTGGCAACAAATTGGAGATTAAACTTTTGTTTCTAGATAAATATGCTTCTACCTTTGGCACCGGCAACCAATATGCCTATTACCATGAAGAGGACGAGACAACGTTCCATCTGGTGGATACGGCACGCGTCCAGAAGCCACCGCATCAACGTGGACGCTTCCGCAACATGCGTAATTCGCGTTCAGGACGCGGCCGCAATGCACGCGGTGGGCTCAATACGCACGGTCATGGCATGACCACACTGAGCAGTAAGAATGTTAAGGCACGCGATCCGCGACGCGGCATGGGCAAGCGATTTGGTAACCGTGGTCCGCCACCAAAGATGCGTGAATCTTCGGTGGCTGTGCGGGCCGACTGGGCATCCATTGAAGAGATGGACTTCCCGCGTCTCATTAAGCTGTCGCTGCCGAACATCAAGGATGGAGAGGATATTACCACTTGCGGCACCCTGGAGTACTATGATAAGACATACGACCGCATCAATGTGAAGAACGAGAAGCCGCTGCAGAAGATTGATCGCATTGTGCACACTGTGACCACCACTGATGATCCGGTCATACGTCGTCTGTCCAAGACGATTGGTAACGTGTTTGCCACGGATGCCATTCTGGCTACTATTATGTGCTCGACACGCTCCAACTACTCGTGGGATATTGTCATCGAAAAAGTTGGTAAGGGATCTATTGCATAAAACCAAAGTGAATCCACTAGCCATGCTTTAATTTTATCGACAGGCGAGAAAATCTTCATGGACAAGCGCGATCATACGGAATTCGATTTGCTAACTGTGAATGAGACTAGCGTTGAACCGCCCACGGACGACGACAGCTCGTGCAACTCGCCTCGCAATCTGGCCATTGAGGCCACCTTCATAAATCATAACTTTAGCCAGCAAGTGCTCAAAACGGGCGACCAGGAGGCCAAATACAAGTTTGAGGAAACCAATCCCTTCATTAGCGAAGACGAAGACATACAGGTGGCCAGTGTTGGCTATCGCTACAAGAAATGGGAACTGGGCAGCGATATTGTAAGCACATCCCTTATTTGTGTTACTTCTAACTAATTAGAAATCTTTGGCAGGTTCTGGTGGCGCGTTGCGAACATGATGGTGTGCTGCAAACGCCCAGTGGAGAACCGCAGTTCTTGTCCATCAAAGCATTGAACGAATGGGATTCGAAGCTGGCCAACGGCGTTGAGTGGCGCCAGAAGCTGGATACGCAACGCGGCGCCGTGTTGGCCAACGAGCTGAGAAACAATGCTTGCAAACTGGCCAAATGGACGGTACAAGCTGTGCTGGCTGGTTCTGATCAGCTAAAACTGGGCTATGTATCGCGTATTAATCCACGTGATCATTCGCGTCACGTTATTCTGGGCACGCAGCAGTTTAAGCCGCACGAGTTTGCCACGCAGATCAATCTGAGCATGGATAACGCCTGGGGCATATTGCGGTGTATTATTGATTTGGTGATGAAACAAAAGGATGGCAAATATCTGATCATGAAGGATCCCAACAAGCCGATTATACGCTTGTATGATATACCCGATAATACATTCGACTCAGATGATTCGGACGATGGCGAGGGAGATGATGGTGAAGGTTTCCAGCAGGTCTACAACTATGCCAACAACAGCAACAAGATTTAGTTTCGTTTCCAGCTCTGTTTGCATATTAACGTTATAAGCGCAAACATACCCTCATACCCATAAACATACTTTTATAATCATAAAAACAACAACCGGTTAAACAATGCCAAATCACATTAATATTTTTGTTCTTGGCGTTAGCGTTAATCATTTGATTATAAGTTGGCTTCATATGCAAGTGCAACGAATTCCGAGTAAAGCACAGAATGGAAACAGACTTGTTCAGTTGTGTGGACTCTTAATGGGTGGGTCGCTGGGCAATGCAATGTACCCAGCCGGAGAAGCTGTTCAACAATCGATCATTCGGACATCTAGCCAATCATTGGCGAAGCGAGGTTATTCTCAACGCGAAGCTTGCGACGAGCAATTCAGGCAAATCTCTCGGACGTTATCTGGTTAACTTGGCGGCAATGAAGCTCCAGCTGATATTACTGGACGCATTAGACGACTTTTTGTTGTACATCATTTATCTGGAATGAGCTCAATGAGCTTTCAGACCAGGCCTCCAAGTGCAATGAATTCCGTGCGGGGTCTTAATGGGTTGGCACTGCAATGTACCCAGCCGTACAAGCTGCTCAACAATCGATCACCCCTGACATCTGGCCGATTTATTGGCGAAGATAACGGGCAGCATCCGCCTGCAAGCTATCAACTAGTCGTCAATATGAAAGCGAGTTTAGTCTCAACGCGAAGCTCGCGACGATCAAGTCAAGAAAATCTGTCGGACGTTATCTGGTCATGTTGGCGGCAATGAAACTACAGCTGATATTGCTGGGCGCATTGGGCGTCATTGGCACTGCTGGTAAGATGTGCGGCTTTTTTTGTTACATCATTTGTCTGGAATTGTGCTACCTTGTTAGTCGAGCTTGAGTCTCCTCTGACCTTCAACCGGTTCTACCGGTTGTTGTAATAGTGCAATGCTAATTGATATTGATTTAATCTGAATGCTGATCTCCGTTAGCTGCCGCCACTGCGCAATTTAGTTATGGCAGCTGCGAGACCAAAGGCACCAAGGAGCATGGATTATGCATACATATACGAAACTGTCCATTTCTCTACGAGATACTCAACATAAGCCAGTCGACGCCAGAACAGCGTCAACTACTCTCCGATAGCCAATGCGGCCTGGATAATACCCGTCAAAGCGGTTTGGTGCAGCGTATTCTGGTGTGCTGCCCGGACAGCAAACGGCGCATGCAGAGCGCAGACACTGCCACTGGAACACCGGTCGAAAATCGTTCTGGTGGCGAGCCCGACCCGAGCAATGTGCTACCAAGCATAGGCACTTGTGGTATTTTATTTTCGAATCGGATTATTGGCGGCACTAAAACGCAGCTGTTCGAGTTTCCCTGGATGGCGCTCCTGCAGTATAAAAAGCGTAAGTTGCAGCCACTTATCTGCCTACCATATGGTTGATTTATGTATCTTTTAAACTGGCAGCCAATGATGAGCTCGATTTTAACTGCGGCGGAACATTGATCAACTCACGCTACGTTCTGACGGCCGGTCACTGCTTGAATAGCAGCCAGCTGCAAATGTATAACTGGCAGTTGTATAGTGTGCGTCTGGGTGAATGGGACATAAGCACTGCTCCGGACTGCGTGACCGAGGTGGGCAATAAGCAACGCACTTGTGCACCCATGCACTTGGACATTGAGATTGAAAAGCGTATTTTGCATGAGCTATATGTGCCAAACTCCATTGACCAGATGCACGACATTGGACTGCTGCGTCTCAAGCAAGCGGTTCGCTTTACGGAATATGTGAAGCCCATTTGCCTGCCGGTTGGCGACGATGTGCGCAATAACGATTTTGAGGGCTACGCCATGGACGTGGCAGGATGGGGTGTTACCGAGGACGGTAAGCCTAGCAATGTGAAGCTCAAAATCACTGTTGATGTGTGGACTCTTAAAAGTTGCCAGGATAAATATCGCGCCTACCAGATGCATCTAAACAGTTCACAGTTATGCGCTGGCGGCAAGATAAATATTGACACCTGTCAAGGTGATTCCGGCGGGCCACTAATGGTTCCTACCCATGTCGGCATGCAGGAAGTTTTCTTTGTGGCCGGCGTCACATCATATGGCCCCAAGCCCTGCGGCCTGCAAGGCTGGCCAGGTGTTTACACGCGCGTAGGACAATATGTCGACTGGGTAGTGAGCAAATTAGAAATTTAATCCGATTGATTATTTTAATAAATAAAATTGGTAATTTATTATTCACATAGTATCTTGCATTTCCTAGCTTATTTAATATGAAAGAAGCGGTGTGACCAATTGCCTGCTTTAACTACATTATTTAAAGTGGAATGCGGATTCCTAGTTGCGGTTCAGCTTAGATCCAAGTGCTATTAACCTAGCGCACAACAAAATTAAATACAAAATAAATAAAGTTCATGTAG